TTGCTGAAATTCACCGTGAGCACTACGGTAGCAGTCCCGAAAAATAGGGTGACCCGGGCGCCCCGACTGGTAGCCTAGGTGTTGGTGAAATTCACCGTGAGCACTACGGTAGCATTCCCTCCACGGTCTAGGCTTTCGCTTTCCCTGCTCTGTACAGGGACCCATCATCATCTTCGTTTTTCCTGCTATCTTCTTTTGCTAGCGTGCTCTCATCGGTTACTGTGACAGTTACGAATCACTTTCATCTTTCCAGCTGCAACTTCCTCACGGAGCTTTTGTCGACGGACATAGCAAATAGCCTTTTGTTTTCTCCAACGAGAATCTATCATCTTTCCCTCCATACTATGCTCCCTTCACACATATACATGTCACCACCTTTGCTGCAAACGTATAAAAACCTACTACCATTACTTCTTTTATACTACCATTACTTCTTTCATGCAACCTCTCTAAACTACGAGCCTTTGAACAAGTTCACAGACTTTTCCGAGTTCAGACAGCTGAGGACAATGTAAGAATATGAACGAACCTGTATTTCAGCATTCAGGAACGTGGACTCCTCCCCAACTGTTAAAACTTAGTTTAATTTGCAGGCCGGTAGACTAGCTTCATTTGCAGGAACAATTGCCCGCAACATCCAACATCCAGCACAACCGTAGCTGCATTCCATTGAATCACTTTTGTTACTCTGTTCAGTGCTTTTTTTTGCTGTCACTGCGTACACGTTTAGTCAGGCGAGCCGGCGTGATGCCACCTCGACATTCATCACTAGCACATCAGTGCTTACAAATGAATCTTAAGCCATGCTTGTGCTGCTGATAGCCCAACTCTTTGCACATTCGACCCATGCCATCTCACGTGCATTTCCTCCAGACAATTTTGAGTTCATACAGGAGCAGAAGAGCCATCTTTTCCTCGGATTGCAGTTATGGCAAAACATATCCACGATGGATGCCAAAGAAAACGTATCGAAGACAGATACAAAAGAACAGCAGCCAATATGATAAACTCCCCCAAGCGAAGAGAAAACACAGCATGTTCCAACAACGCTGCTGTCGAGGTTTCACATCGCCATCTTGACAAGTCTCAGGTAGAATCCTGTACGGATATTCTAGCAGCGAGAACTACACAAGAGGAGATTAAGGATAGCAGCGCAAGTACCCGAAAGAAGATTAAGGATATTGTAGTAGCGAGAACTACCCACAAGGAGATTGCAAATTGCAAAAAAATAATCCTGTTCGGGAGCGCAGACGATTTGCACAAAGAACGCAGGCAAACTAGTTCGCTCTGGACGTGAAGTGGGAAAAAAAAGATTCCCTGCCTGACACAACGTGACACTAAGCGGACAACAGAAGACCTAAAAGCAAATTGTTTGTTCACCACACAGTAAGCGGACAACAGATATAAGCAGACCTAAAAGCAAATTGTTCACCACATCTAACGCAGTGTTTCTTCTTTGTGCAGCCACGGGGATACAAAAACAGCAAAACCCGTTAAAACGAGCGTGTGACTTCCTCGGTGGAGAGAGTGCAGCTGCACAGCTCTTCCTTAAACCCAGAGAATTTCTATGGCAGAGGTACTGCCGTCTTCCCCCGACCATAACACACTCTGGTAATCAATGCATACAAGCCATGTTTCCGGTCTGATACAGCCATAATGAGGGCAGGTTGTGTTCGGGGAAAGACGGGCAGTGAGCGGATTGGAAACCAAGCGGTTTCAAAGAAATCTTACCGCCACCCCCTTAAGTCCGATGCATTCATATGACCATCAGGTTATTAATCACATATATGCATTCATGACGCCCAAGTTATTAATAGCAGAAGAGACATGCAAGTTATTAATATCAGAAGAGACATGCAAGTTATTAATAGCAGAAGAGACATGCAAGTTATTAATAGCAGAAGAGACATGCAAGTTATTAATAGCAGAAGAGAGATGTGTTCAGGACGATCACGTCACGAAGCAAAAGAGACGGATTATTTCTAACCTCCCCTTCCCTCAGAACTACCAGCAATGCGAAAATCCTTGAAACGCCAACGACTTCCACGAATTTTTTTTTCCCTGAACATCTTCATCTTTCATCTCCTTTTTCTGTTTTGCACGTCTATCCAATCCAGCGCTAGGTATTTCACTAATCTATGCACTCATTCAGTCAATCAATCCCTTCAGTAATCCATGCACCTATTCAGTCAATCACTTCCCCTATACTCTCAGTCGACCATGATCTCATGAATTCGACTTCAACATTCACGAAGATTCGACCATCATTATCCGTCATTGCGGTCTCTGTTCACTTATACACACGATCCACTCGTTCTTCATTGCCTCATTCGCACCTCCTTAAAACAAATCATTAACCTTCGTTCGTTAATCATCATTCCTTCAGTACTACGAGTCGTCCATCACTAAGTACTCTTCATATTCCCTCTTTTGTTATTCTCTTCACCACCAATTCGTGTTCCTTATCTCCCTCCTCCTCCCTCCACCACCCCCTCCCTCCCTCCCTCCCTCTAGGTTATTCTACGAAGCCACTGACAGCTCCTGTTTCTTCTTCTTCTTCTTCATTCGATCATGTGCCCATCGTTTGTGCAGCACGGTATTTTTCATTGGCCTTATCGCCAAAACAAATCACGTTTTCGACGTCTTTCTCAGGTTTTTACGACGCAATTGCTTCGACATCCAGTGTTGTGCGTGTCCTTTGAACGTCACGATCTGTCTACCCACGTTCGAAATAAATCCCGCTAAGCTGTACATACCCAGCTCCCCCTTCGTTTCAACCTCATGATCTCTCCACCCATAATCGACACCCGTCTAAGCTATACACATGCGCAGCTCCCTTTTGTCTTGACCTCACCCATCGCCAATCAACTACTAATACCTACCTAATTTTTGTCAATTACGTACCGCCAATTTGTGCTTCTGAAGTTTTTTTTCTGGGTTTTCTACAACGCAATTGTTTTTTTTTTTTCATCCAGTGTTGTGCCCGTCTTATTGACCGTCACAAGCTCTCTCTCCATGTTTCGAAATTTCGTTAAGCTGTACATATTCACCCCCCCCTGTTTCAACCTCATCATCTCCAAAATCACCGACATGTTCGTCAACCCATACCCTGCCCTGACTGACTCTACCAGCAACCGAACCGACCCATCTAATTATATATCTACTGTAAACTACTCACATCTATTACGTCTAATTAGTCTAATTACGTCTAATTACGTCGAATTACGTCTAATTATTAGATTTACTGTAAACTAGTAGATCTAGTTATATCTATCTAAATCACATCTATTACGTCTAATTACGTCTAATGACGCACAATTTGCGTCAGACTCTGCCAATCTTCTTCTCCCTCCGATCATGTGCTACCCATCTACCGCTGATGCCATCTCTGCGCTTAACCGGCAAGTTCATGGCGCTCTCCACCATAATTTAGAAGGGACCTTACAACGAATTAAAAGAAAAGAAAAAAAAAGAAAAAAAAAGAGAAGAAACGAAAAAAGCAGCACCATGAGAACTTCCAACCCTGACCGTCACTACTGCCGGTTTCGCAACATCGAAAAACAAGCAAAAAAAAAAAAAAAAAAAAAAAAAACGGAAAAAAGAAATGAACACGGACATTCCCTACTCACCTCCCTTTGCGGTTTCTTCAAAAGGACCAAGCTATAATTGCAACCTACCAAACAAACAGTTCGCTCCCACGACGCAGAGCAGCACCGTGATCAACATAGCTTTCCGTAATTACAAAGAAGCAGCAAACGACCAAGCGCAAAATTTACAAGAGGCATCAAGGCAAACTGTTGGTGGGAGAACACCGATGACAAACTGCAGAGAGAGAGAGTACGGACGCGACAAGAGGCACAAATAAAAGAGGAGAGGTCTTTGGTTCGACAGCAGCAGCCACAATTGAGAGGAGGAAGAGTGAACGGACGCAGCCATAACCACAAGGCGGCGGTGAGCCCACCTGATGGGTAAAGCGGAAGAAGCACCCACCTGCTGTGATGCACCTGCACGTGCGCAAGTGAAACGCACTACCACGACGAAGCGACTGCCCATTTTCAGTTTTTCCTCCTTTTGTCATTTTCGTGGCATTCCCCCATATAGCCCTCTTCAAGCAACAGAGTAGCGACGACGCCGGGGCAACATCCGAATCACACACCATCTAACACGCGCTGTGAACCGAAAAATAAAAAAGGAGGAACTGCGGAGAAAGCAAAACAGAAGCACAAACGAGTAGCAGGAAAAAAGAGCTGACGAGGCGAGAGACACAGGCAGATCCGGGGTGGGGGGCGCAGAACAGATAATACTTAAATGACAGGGAAACAAAACAGGCGAAATATACAAGGCAGGCAAAAAGGGAAACGGCGGAGAGAACAAGAGAAAAAAGCAACAACACAATAGAGCACCAAGCACGGAATCGAACAACAAACAAAACGAGGGGCAGCAACAGGAGAGGCAGATGGGGCACAGAGGCAACAGATGAAAGAGGAGAGAAGAGTCGGGGCAAAGAGGCGAACAGATGAAAGGAGTTGGTGCAAAGAAAGGCAAACAGATATGAAAGAGGAGTCGGGGAAAAGGAGCGAGCAGATGAAGAAGGAAGGAAAACGTCGGATACATTTAAGTCAAACTGGAAAAGGTCAAGCGAACAAAGACTCTTTTGACGTAAGAAGAAAAAAAAAAAGAAGAGGAAGAAAAAGAAACCAGTAAACAGAGACAAACAGGGAGATTGGCGCGTTCGAAACAGAGAGACGACGGAGGAGAGGTAGTACATACAGAGGAAGAAACCCAAACCCAAATCACGAGAGAAAGAAAAACGGCACCGGGGAGAATCGCAGGGTGCGACGCCCGTAGCTCATGTCCTCGACGTGGGAAACAAACGGACACCAAAAGCACGACAGGCATTCACCACGGTGAATGGGGTACAAACACTTCCAACACGGTGAATGATAGAAAAGGAAGCAGAAAAGGCAATTCAGCATCATCATCATCATCACGATCACGACGATGTGGTTAATACGACCACGATAATGGAATGAGGATAGCACAACGATACATTAAATTGAGAGTACAAAGTGTGGTGATGGCAATGACGATGCTGCTGATGATGATGACGACGGTAATGAAACCACCACCATGATCATCACAATTGTCATCGTCATCGGCAAACATTCCTGTCGAGCATAGCGGGCAAGAGCAAGAGGAGAATTGCAAAGCCAAACGAAAACAGCGAATGGTTTAATTGCCCTACCGCCGTGGTATGTGTACAACTCAATGATTCCCCACAAAGACCAGGCCATCATAACCACCATTCCTCAAGCCCACACAACCACTGTTCGCTTCACATTCGCAATAGTTTCCCCGTCCCCAGCCCCCCCTTTTCCCCCCCGTGTGTCACCCCTCAAGCCCATAAATCACCTTCCATCGGTATTCTGAATCCGACAACCAAGGGGGTGGTCATAATTGCGTCCCCCCGCCGAGATCAATGATCCATCAACCCATCAAACAACCAACAGACAATCAGTCGATAGGGGGCTTGCTACTGCGCTGCCCTCCCTTATGCCAGGCCCAAGGTAATCCACTAAGGCCACACCAGCAAGTCAACCTAACCATCCATGCGGTCCGATATGTTCCTCACCGTTCACAGTTTACCAAACCTAAGCCGAACCAATCACACACGAAATACGACCCGAATACGGGTGGGCGGGAGGGCGGGCGGGCGGGCGGGCGGGCGCGCGGGCGCGGGGAAAGGAAACTGGTTAGAAAGTGCTTTACAGCAAACGCCGCATCGCGACATCTCCTCCACCTCCCCGCCCCCCCCCGAACCGCCGCCCATACCCTCCACCACAATCCCTAGGCACAAAGTGCAGCCCAGTCCAGCAAGTCTTCCACTTCTCTGCCCTGCCCGTACTCCCCTAAGATCCGCGCTTCTCCCCGCCACCACGCCATCCTGGAACCAAACCCCCAAACTCGCTAGCCTCTTTTGCCCCCGGCTCCCGCGGAGTGGCGCCACCCCCCCGCAACCCCCCCGCCCGCCTCCATCACCTGCAACCACCTACCGACACGGCATCAACAGACTGATGCCAAGCCCGTCCCCTCTTTTAGCGCCCCCTTCCTTCTCTCTTTCGCCTCTATATCAGCAAGGAATTGCCGCATGCACGCATGCATGGTTGCAATACCTGTCGGCTTGTCCGAGTTGCCTCCACGCTGCGTAAGCCATACGCCTAGTACCTCCTCCTCACTCCCAGTCTCTATCTCCTCCACCAACTAATCCCTTCCAATTACCATCCACCATGGACCATGGACGGGATACTATCATCCCTTCGCAGAGCTCTTCGTCGAGGCAACAACAACAAGCTTTATTCCTCTTATTCTCCTTACCCTGTTGACGAGCCAGAGCCATTGCCTCCAGTTTGCGCAGTCATCGATGAGCAGTACATTCCCCCACCAGCGCTTTGGTGGGTGCCGCCGTTACCACCGAGCCCGCTCACGACGCCCGCCACCGCGGCAGCGTTCGCCTGAGCAGCAACTGGTGGCCCTCCAGCTTCCCCTCCATCCGCCGTCGCGCTTCCACCGCCAGTTGTCTTCTTCCCCCCCATATCCTCAACTTGCGAGGAGCCGTCTTCGTCCTGTTTCTCTCTTTCTTCATCGCCCTCGCCGATCAGAAGCTGCTGCTGCCTCTCCTGTGAGGTCGAAGAATGCATCTCACCCGCCTCATTCCTTCCATCTCCTGACTGGTTCGCCAACGGGCTTGTTCCGCCTGTATAGGACACCGGTGCAACCGGCAGATCGACGAGAGAGGATGCCGAGGGACTATAGTCAAGACCTACCGGGTGGTCGAATTTACAGGTATGGCCGAATTTGCAAACCCCATAACGCGTGTAGAAGCTGCATTGAGGCTGGCCGGGACGAAGCGGAAGACCCATACTGCTCAGAGCACACTGGGCAGCGGGCACGCCCCTGTCCTTGGGGTGATGATAGCGACATGACATTCCGTACTTGCAATCTCCGGTCCTCATGTAGAAGGTGCATTCTGGCTGGCCCGGGCGCTCGGGAAACTCCCTAGTCTGTTGCAGATAGACCATCCCGCCGACTCCTGCTGTGCCTCCCTGCCCCGCTGCCGCTGTGGGCCCGCCAGCCTGAGCGGCCATACCCATCGGCCCGCACGGTACCGATGGCATGAAATGCGTTCCATGTCCAGCGAAGTAAGGCGGAACAGCCGTCGCCATCCCGCCACCACTCCCTCCAGCTGCGTTTTGTTCACTCAATGGACCGGCGGCGGAACCTGGGCCTCCTGGCGTGGTGTAGTAATACGGAGGACCTGGAACGCTATGCTGCTGCGACGGATTGGCATTCGCGTGCTGCGGCGGTCGCGGGCCTTGCTGATGCGGCGGATGCTGCGAAAACACGTGCGGAGGTGAAGACGAGGGAGCCGCGGCAACGCCCGAGCTCCCATGCGCGCAACCATGAGGGGGAAGATACTGTACTTGCTGGTGCGGAAAGACTGGGAACCTGGCTGTTGTCAGCGACCTCACCTGCCAGGGCTGCAAGGATCCCATTTGGAACGGCAAGTGGGGAGGGCTCGGGTTCACAAGCGGGTGCGGGAGAGGTCCCGCACGAGGTTGCATCAGACCAGCGCCGTTCGTCGGCGGTAGTTGCGGATGATGAAAGCGGCACGTCACGCCAAACCTGCACACGCGATTCCGCATATAATACGCGCACTCCTTCTCGCCCGGTCTCAAAGGATAACCCAGAGAATTAAGCGGAGGGCGCGGCGGTTGGTAAGCGTTGGGGTTTGAACCAAGCTTGAGGCATGGATGGTGATACTTGCAAGTGGCGCCGAACTTGCACGTACCCGTCTTCATGTAGTACTGACATTCCGGCTGGCCGGGGCGTTCTGGATACTCGAGCTTGCCTTTCGTGGAGAAGGACTGATACCCCGCGGCAGACGCCCGACCATTGGGTGGATGGTTGAACTTACATTGCTGCCCAAACCCACAAGTGCCTGTCCGCAGGTAAAAAGGGCAGTCCTGAACGCCCGGGCGCTCCGGGTAAATTGCTAACGAAGGAAAGGGAGGATGGGGAGGGGGAGGCGGAGGAGGCGGAGGCGCCACCACCCTCCCTCCTTCCATCCCGCCTGGCTCCTGTTGAAGGACAGGTTCGGAGTTCCACCCGCCTTCCTCAAATCCGAGAGCCGACGTCCTTTGACTGTTGTTTGATGCTGCTGCTGCTGTGGCGATGGCCTGCCTTGAGCCCCATTCGCTGCGGGTGGGCAACAGGGATCCCGTCTGCCCTTCCGAACCGACCAGGTATCCCGTTCCGTGACAACTCCTTGCTGCCAAAGCCGGCTGCGAAGATTGTCCCAAGGATGATAGATAATATTCCATGGACGGGGTTGTGAACCCCTCTCTACTTCTGCTTCTCTGCCGAACTCGTCCTTCTTCTTGTGGGAAACGGGCCGAGGGAAATATCGCCTCCTTGCCCCGACTCCTCGTGTCCCAAACCAGCCCCCTCACCCCCTACAGCACCCAAACCTCAACACTACCACCACCTCTTTCTCCTCCTGTACGCCGCTCGCAATCGGAACGGCTGCTGCCGCTGAGGCTCGAGAGCTCTCACTACGCAGCACTCAGAACGCACGCGCGGACTGACAGACCGCGCGCCGTCGTCGCCTTCGCTAGGAAACACGCGCTCATTCACTCAAAACTTAGTGCGGAAAACCAGTCCCCGATGTTACTGCGTGCAAAAGAACAAACGAAGATCGAGCCAAAGTCACAATGACCAGGTGATGGACGGGGAGAGCACAAATTTGATTCGTAAATACCGAGACCCCCAAAGAAAGATAGGTCTCCACGGGCGTGCGGTGTAGGGAACAATGCGAAGAGGGGGCCTATTTTTCAACAGAGAGCAAACCACAGAACGTGGAAAAGGCGCGCGAGAGTGACCGCGGGGAGAGAAGACACACGAATGGCACACGTGTGAAGCCAGACACAGAAAGAGAGTGTTAGCAGCGCGTTCTCTGCCTTACTAATCAATCCTACCAGACACAGAAAGAGAGTGTTAGCAGCGCGTTCTCTGCCTTACAAATCAATCCTACGGATGGCAGGAATTACAAGAAGAGAAGGACAAGCTCAGGCCGACAAGCAAAACCGAGCGATAACAGCAAACAAGATAGCAGATCGGCACGGCTTGGCATAGTAATAAGGATATGCCGCGGCCATCCTCCGGCTTGGAGGAAGAGCAGCTAGTACAAGAGAACTACACCTGCGTCGCAGAGCACCTGCGATATCTGACGAAGGACCCCAGGGCGTTGCTTATCCAATCTCGCTTGACACGATATCCCCCTACCGCGCACGCGCAGCCCCCTTCCCCCCCCCCCCCTTTCCCCCCCCCCCCCTTCCCCCCCCCCCCTCCTCTCCCGCCCCAGGCCTATTCTCCTTCAATTCACTAACGATGGTTGCCGCGCGGATTCTCATTCAGGCTCCCCACCCTTCTTCCTCTTGACATGGCTGCGCCCGTCGAGACTCATTCTGATCCTAGAGCGCTTCCCTTCCTCTCCCTTCCTCCTCTTCTTCTTCTTCCTCCTCCTCGTCTTCTGTTTCGTGCTCCTCGCCGTCGTCGTCTTCGCCACCACCACTCGGCCAATCCACTGGGCCTGGAAGGGAGGAAGAGAGTGGAAACGAGAGTGGAGATCGGGTGCGAGGAAAAGCAGGGCACCCAGCACCACCCTCTCCCCCCCCTCCACTTCTCGCCAAGCCAGCCGCGTGCTGGGTGTGAGCGTACTCCGCACTCCTTACTCCGCAGTCTGTGCTAGAGTGTCCGCGACGGCGAGAGAGAATACCGCCTGCAAGGCGGGAAGAGATCCGGAGAGGCGAAGGCAGCAGAGAGAAAGGGGGAAGGAGGGAGTCCCGGCATACGAATACCGCGAAAACCGAAAGCGCCGCGGCCGCCGGCCGTCCTATGAATGAAGGGTACAGGCCATCAAACGAAAAGACATGCGGCCACGTCAGCGAGCACAGAGAAGGACGCCAAGCTCTCCTGGCCTCCTGTCTTCATACAACCCCGACTAGTCCTGCTCCTCTTGATATGGCTGACGTGGTTCTACAGCCCGACCGTGCACGACAAAGACTCGTCCCTCTGCGCGCGAAACTCTCCCCTCTCGACACCACACCACACCACGCCACGCGACGGGACGGGACACGACGCGTCGCGACTCACGACCCTTCTGACAACTTTTCTGCAGCGGCTCAGATCCTGCTCTGCAGCCTGCAGGCTCGCCGCTCTGAGAAACAATGAGTCCCTGTGAACCCTGAGGGCCCTGGACGATGCCCGACTCTGCCACTCCAGCAGTCGCTCTTGCACTTGCACACACAGCAATCTGGAGCGTCGGTCCCTCGCCCACCCACCACTTCGCCCTCTCCACTCCACCACTCCAACGCGCTGCGATTCACTACTCTTGGCGGGGTTCGAGCTGTCCACGTTCTCGTCGTAAGCGCAAACAGTGTGTATGCGTACGACTCGCCAGCCTGCACTACCCACCAGTATAGGCCAGCGTGCCATCTACCCTCTGCAGGCTTCGCAGCAGCAGCAGCACCCCTCACAATCACAACAGCCACCGCGCCTTCGCGTTTCCGGCCTCCGGTAAACGGACGTCTCTGAAGCCTGAGGCCATGCATGCAAGTGTTCGCGCGAGGTTTCCTTTTAATTAATTAATTAACTGCCACCACTCTCCCGCCCGAACAGCGTCCCATTCGGGCTGGAAACCGCGCGCGAGCCAGGAGCGTACGAAACGTCCAAAAGGGTGCCAGATCCTGCGGACCTGCGCTTCGGCGCCGTCTGGAAACGCGCACAGGAGGGGACGCAGAGAGGACAGAGGGGGCTGCCGCGCCTGCCCGTCACGCCCGTCCCTTGTACTGGGAATGTGGCTGCTAGGGGGGAGGGTAAGCAAAAGTCGGTGGCTCGATCCCGTAAGGGCGCGCCATTCGCGCGTGGCGATGGAAACGAATGCCGTTCTGCCGGCAGGGTTTTCATTTCATCGCGCGCGGTGCAGTGCACCTCCCGCTCACCTGCTACCGCGGGTGGTGCCAATGGCCTCGCGAAACGGCAGCTGTCATCTTCTTGCAACCACCCAAGCCGTGAAACGTGGGAGGAAGGACACAGCTGGCGGGACGGTCGGTCGGATGCGACCAAACATCAAGCATGCGACCGACCGACCGCTTCGGCTTCACCAGGAGCCGCATTCGATTTTAGCTCTTGGGGGTGGAGGGGGCGGTGTCATTATCGGGGACGGAGGGAAGCAGGTAGGTCGCGTGTTCGAAGCGACCAGGTGAACGACAAGAACGTGGATCGAACCCAGGGAAAGCGGTTTCCCGGGTAAGTACTGGGCCGAACCCCGAAAATGGCGGGTGAAAGCAAGCAAACAGGCGGCTGCCTTGAGGCAGGAACGCTGGACATCGCTGGACATGGTGGTCGACTGAGAGCCAGGCAGGCACTGATTTATTGACCGAGATGGCACCGCAAAGTAGGCCAAAGGCCAACGCGTGGGCCAACTCGGGGACGCCAGAGCCGGGAGGAAGACCGGCGGGAGCAGAATAGTGGCAAACCCAGGGACCCAGGTGTGGCACCAATATGTTCCCGCTGAACTGGTGGGAAGCAAAGTTTCCCACTGTTCCTGCGGTTTCGATGCGCTGCCAAGAGCTGGCACAACCATCAGCAATCTGGACAAATCGTGTTTCCAGTTGTCCTTTTGAACTCGATGCATACTCCTGCAGTGATGCTGTGGACAGTCTGAGGGGGCCACCAGTTAAGGCCGGATCCCAATACTTGGCCCATACATGGGGCAGGTACGCGGTTGATAAATATCATCAATGGCCACAGTTGCGTTTACTGCCTCCAAAAGTGGCGGTGAGGGGCCCATGGCCAATGTTCGCAGCCCGTACGGGCTGCGTTTTTTTTATCCGCCTGAGACTTTCAAAGTCGTTGAAATTTCAACGTCAGTGGTCGTTGGGGAAGGTGGGCATTTTGAGGTTTTGGGGCCTTGCAAGGGGTGGAACTGCGTAGGACCGGTAGCTGCCCTTGGGAGGCCACGGTCCTTCAATTTTGAACATTTCGAAATCGAAACAGCATGGGACCACTTTTCTCGAATAGCAGAGCACTTCGAATAGAACACTTACACGCTGTATTTGAATACAACATGTACCCTTTCCATTCGGATTTCGAAAAGAAAACACTCTTGTATTCCAATAACATTACCCTTTTTTTTAATGGAGGTCAGCGCCTGCCCTTGTGCTCCCCGCCTCCGGTATGGGGATGAAGGCGGGAAGGAGGGTAACGGGAAAAGTAGAGCGGAGCGGGACCAAGATTCAGACGAGGAGTAAGGGTGAAGCACGAGAGGAGAGGGGATGGAAAACAGTTACGGGTGAAGGAGAGAAGGGGCGAAGAGGAGGAGGGTGAAGATGGCATGGGTCCTAGCAGAAAGCGAGAAAAGCTTGCATGCATGGCGCCAGTGCAGAAAAGAAAAAGGCACCGAAACAATTACGTTCCATCCATTCTGGTTCTAAAGCTACTTCAAGATTTAAAAATTTGAATGCAATATCAGCGCACGGAATTGAGCGCACAAAAATCCTACGTCTATCCAGCCTCCTATTGAAAATTCACAAATCTTTCAACGGCGAGTACGGGGACATCCATTTGCAAGAAAGGACACGTCAGTGGGAAGAGCATCCGTAAGTTTCAGAGTTTCCAACTACCGAACAAACTTCCTAGCGTGCTCGCTAAGGCGCACGTAATTCTTACATAGATATATGGATTGTCGGAAATAAATTGCAAAGAAATCCACAAGAAACATCGTCTTAGACACAAGAGGGACCTGGTTGGCTTATGATTCTATGCACTGAGGAGATAGCAAAAAAAAAGGGGTACCCAAAAAGAGCCCAAGAGAAATCCGAAGAATCAGAACAACAAAAACTCGGGGCTTCGGAAGATCGTTCGGGTATGGAAGTCGGTACGTCACACAACCCTAAGTACTTGTGCAGAGTTTGAATGGCCAACAAGGTATTGTAGGAGGGCAAATTTTTAAGGTTGCAAGCTATTACGAACCTATTGTCAATCCCCCACCTACACCGTCAATAGTTCGTCTCCAACGGCCCGACACTGCCCGTTCGGTAATCTACATGGTTGCCACATTCGTGGCCTGGACCTCTTGGGCCCCTTGATGTTGTGCAGATGGACAGAAGGTTGTTGCTTGTCAACGTCGTCCGGCCCCGCACAAATGTCGTCCAATGTCCACAAGGCCGCTCTACCAACCAGACGGACAGAGCCAAATTCCTATGGCCAATAAAACCCGCAATTAGGATTGGGAAAGTTCGCAGCCCTAAGGCTGCAGTGTATTAGGCTTCGGCGTCTACGTCAAGGTGTCGCATTTTTGGCGGCAGGCGACCAGGAAGCAAAGTGGGTTCTTAGGGGGCAAAAGAACTTGGGGGACCGGTCCTTTGCGGACTACCTACAGTTGTCTCTCGTAAAACCGAGACTTTTGAAAAAGGAAGGACCGGTCCTCAGGTGGAAATGGACCCCAAAAAGAAGTGAGGGCATGTGAACTGCAAAAGGGTCATCAGACCCAGCCGTTGAGGCCCGTCTTCTAAAAACAAGGAGGTGAAGCGCAACGAAACAGGCGTTTTTGCAAGAGGCAAATTTGTAGTTTTCTGTGCTAAAAGAAACCCGCAGAAAAATCTAAAATTTTGAGAATCCACAAATGAGGGAACGTTTTTTCCAAGAAGAATATTATAACATTCAAAAAATCATTTAGACTGCGAAATAATCGTCGAACCGATTCGGTACATTTTTCATTTTTGCCACTCATCTATGTGTACGCCAACCTAAAAAGTACTCCAAATTCAGCGAGTTTTCTCACTCAGAAAAATGCGTGAAGAAACCTAAAAAATGGAGTACTCGTAGATTTTGTTGTGATCTTTCCAGGAAACTTGACGCTCAATAAATTAAAAAAATCATTCCAACTGTGAAGTAGATCGTGGCCACAATTTGACCCATATTTCAATTTTGCCATCCAGCCTCTCTCTCTCTCTCTCTCTCTATCTATCTATCTATCTATCTATCTATCTATCTATCTATCTATCTATCTATCTATCTATCTATCTATCTATCTATCTATCTTAATCTTTATCTCTATCTATCTATCTATCTATCTATCTATCTATCTATCTATCTATCTATCTATCTATCTATCTATCTATCTATTTATCTATCTATCTATCTATCTATCTATCTATTTATCTATCTATCTCTATCTATCTATCTATCTATCTATCTATNTCTATCTATCTATCTATCTATTTATCTATCTATCTATCTATCTATCTATCTATTTATCTATCTATCTCTATCTATCTATCTATCTATCTATCTATTTATCTTTTGTGCGCGCTCTTAGTCTCATTGCTTTGGCTGCCTTAGGCAGGAACAGAGTGAGCGGATACGCAAGTATGGACCCGGAATGAACGTAGCAACTAGGGAGGAACGAGAGTGAGTAGCGAGGAAAGAAAGGGAATACGTAGGGGGGAGAGGATAAAATAAACGGAAAAAAAATGGGAAAAACTAAAGGAGATTTGAAAATGGGAAGAGAGGAGAAGGAGGAGGGATCGGAAAGAGGGAGGAGAGGCGAAAAGGACAAAACACAGTGCTCAATGTTTGGAGTGTACCTAACCCAGAATGTAAAGTAGATACATTCTAGAACAAGGAAAAACGTCTAACTTAGGTAGCCAAATAGGGTGGGAAAAAGAAGGAAAAAAACAGAGTAAAGCGTGAGGAAGGAAAAAACTCAACACTTAGAGACCGACTAGTTAGTAGAAATATATTTATAACATTATGACAATGTGATGTAGAGTTTGATTGGTAGGGTTGTTTATTAGAATAATATTTAACCCTTAGAAGATCACATGATATAAATTAATTATTCCATCACCCACTTGGTGACTGATCAGTCCTTAGGGGTGAATAGTATGGCGAGCATAATATTAGGTCACATACTTGAAACATTTGTATATGTTTGAGGTTGTATATGATACAATATGATAGTGAATTAACTTTAGGGGTCGCTGCTTTAAGAACACACTTAGATTTATCTGCCTCTTGAAGAATGTATGAATAAATTCGATTGCTT